GAGATAAACCCGGAGAAGACGCAGGCTATCATCAACATGGAGCCGCCCCGCAACGTCAAGGAGGTACAGCGACTGACGGAGCGCCTGGCGGCCTTAAACCGTTTCCTCTCCAGGTCAGCCGAGAGGGCACTCCCCTTCTTTCAGATCATGCGGAAAGCCAGCAGCTTCAAGTGGACGACGGAGTGCCAGGAGGCATTCGACGAATTGAAAAGGTACCTGTCGTCCCCACCCGTGCTCTCCAAGCCCAGAGCCGGCGAAACCCTCTTCGTGTACTTAGGGGTGAGCACGTCGGCCATCAGCTCCGTGCTCATCCGTGAGGACGAAGGGGTGCAGAAGGCCATCTTCTACATCAGCAAGACACTCAGGGAGGCCGAGCTCAGGTACTCCCCCATTGAGAAGACGGTGCTGGCAATCGTCCACACGGTGAAGAAGCTGGGGTACTACTTCCAGGCCCACGCCATCCATGTACTGACCCAGCAGCCTCTCGGCGCACTCATGAGGAGCCCCACCAGCTCCTCTAGGATGGTGAAATGGGCAATTTTCCTCAGCCAATTTCAAATTGAGATCAAGCCAAGGCCATCCATAAAAGGGCAAGCCTTGGCCGACTCCGTCATCGAATGCACAGCAAGGGAGACGACCGTCGCCAACCCCGGGCCGGAACAAGACGATACATGGACCTTGTTCACTGACGGCTCGTCGGCCGCGAAATCATGCGGCGGCGGCGTCGTCCTCATATCCCCTGAAGGATTCAGAGCTTACTATGCCATCCGCTTCAACTTCAGGGTATCCAACAACGAAGCTGAGTATGAGGCCCTCCTCAGCGGTCTCAGACTCGCCGCCGGCCTCAAGGCCAAGCACCTCAAAATCAAGTGCGACTCCAAACTGGTAGTGGGCCAGGTGGAAGGATCGTACGAAGCAAAGGAAGGCCGGATGAAGCAGTACAAACAAGCGGCGGAGGAGTTGCTGAATGCGTTTGAAACCCACGAGATCACTCAGATCCCCAGGGCCGAGAACGCCGAAGCCGACATCCTCTCCAAACTCAGCTCGGACACCCCGGAGCACATCTCCCAGTTGGCCAAGATCGAGGAGTTGAGCATGTCCAGCATCCATGCCAGCCCCGTCTTGTGCGTCCAACAGCGACCAGAGGACTGGATTTCCGACATCGCCACCTTCATCACAACGGGGGAGCTGCCCCCGGACGAGGAGAGGGCCAAACTTGCCAAACTCAGGGCCCCAAGCTACACCATCGAGGATGGCAAACTCTACAAACGGTCCTATAATGGCACTCTCCTCCGATGCCTGCACCAGGACGAGGCCGACACAGCCATGGAAGAAGTTCATTGTGGCGTCTGCTCCTCACACCAGGGCCCTTTCAGCATGTCCCGGCGTCTCGTCGTCCAGGGCTTCTTCTGGCCGACGATGGCACGCGACTGCGCTGACCTGGCCAGGAAGTGCACCACATGCCAGGTACTCCAGAAGGCCCCTGGTCGGCCAGCTGTCAACTACGCCCCCGTCAGCACCGCAATTCCATTCTCCAGATGGGGGATTGACCTGGTCGGCCCCCTGCCCAGAGCCGCCGGGAATAACCGCTACATCATCGTCGCCGTCGACTACTTCACCAAGTGGGTCGAGGCGGAGCCCTTGGCCAGCATCACAGGGGCCAAGTGCCAAAAATTTGTTTACAAGAACATCATCACACGCTTTGGCGTCCCCCAGGAGATTATATCAGACAACGGCACCCAATTTGAGGCAACCCCTTTCCAGGAGCTCCTCCGGGAGTTTGGGGTGAGGCATCGTTTCTCCTCCGTTGCCTATCCTCAGGGCAACGGGCAGGTTGAGAACGCCAACAGAACAATCATAGAAGGGCTGAAGAAGAAACTCCAGGCCGCAGGAGGTAGTTGGGTCGACGAGCTCCCCAACATCCTGTGGTGCTACAGAACCACGCCGAGGAGGGCGACAGGCGAAACGCCTTTCGCCCTGTGCTACGGCTTTGAAGCAAAGGCGCCCACGGAAGTTATCATCCCCAGCCGGCGGGTGGAACAATATGAGCCTGACACCAACGAAGAGAACATGAAGATTGACCTACACCTGGTTGATGAGAGGCGTGAGCAAGCTTACGTCCGAGCAGAGAACTACCGGCGTCAAGTAAAATCATACTATGACGCCAAGGTACGTTCCCGGGAATTTCAAGTGGGGGACTACGTCCTCCGCCGAAGGGAAGCAAGCCAGCCGATAGAGGGTGGCAAGCTGGCATTGAAGTACGAAGGGCCCTACATCGTCAGTGCCGTGGTCAAACCCGGCACCTACAAGCTTAAATGCCCGAATGGGTCCAATGTACCACGAACATGGAATGTACACCATCTGGTGAAGTTTTATCAGTAATCCGAAGGAGGTGCAGACGGCAAAGCCCTCACCCCTTAACGGGTTACTGATTGAACGCCACCCTCGGCCTCGAGCCACTTATGAATAAAATCATGTTCTGATTTTTCCTCTGGAATTTAAAGTAAGACATTAGCCGAGGTGACAAAATCCCAAAACTCAGGGATGGGCAACGACAGCCGTTGGAAACCGACCAAAAGTCTAGCCCGCGTCATAAATAGGCGACGGGACCCGCCCCGAGATCACGGACGTTAAAAAGGAAGTCCGAACCGACCGAAGGACGAGCACACCCTTCGGCCGAAGCCCGAAAGAAGGATACTCCCCGGAAATAAAAAAAAATATATATATACAAGGGAAAAGAGGGAAGCCGACGGCCGCGCACACTAGCCGGCCTCGAGCAATGAAAAAATAAAATCCCCACAACTCAGGCCCAACTAGGCCAAGTACATATCAGTTGAACACAAGTGTAGTACCACTGACAGGTAACATGGACGATACGTCCACACACTACAAGGGAATAATCAAGGCCGAAACACACGCCTATAAAACCCTAACCGCATCGGTTGGGTGACACGCGAGAGGTGACCTTCATCGGCCATAGTCCTTTGAGGCACCAACGCTTGGTATGAAACAAAGCATCGCAATCCTGAGGATGACCAGGACGAAGCGGGCACTTATCACACCCGCGGAAGGATCAAGCAATCAAGAAACAACCTCTACTTGCCACAGCATCTCGGATGGCCGACGCAGGCACTGGAACCAAGGCTGTTGGTCAAGCGAAAGTTCTTTGGGAATTTGTTCAAGTGTTTACCAAACACTTAGAAAAAATCCTGAGAAAAGAGAGGGTTCCTCAACAAGGAACCATGGCTAGCCGACGAAGATAGGACCATCTCCTTGGACAAGCCATTCCTTATCCAGCACCCTCATCGGCCACAAGCCAGACCTTGGCCGGCAGCGGCACCGCAAAGAAGTAAATGCCTAACATTTATACTTAGGAAATTATCTAAGTACTCAAATGAAGGAACTCTAGCCGAAGCGGGTACCAGTATACTCCAAGGCCGTTAGCTACCTACACCTCTGCATGTGTACTTAGAAGAATTCTAAGTTCAAAAAGATCAAGGTTAAGGTGCCCTTATCGGCAACAACACAAAGGATACAGGCTGACAACGACATTGGCTCAAACACTTGGGAAATCTCCCAGAGCATTTGTCAAGAATGATAAATCCAAGGCCAGGACGATGCGAACGTTCAGCCACTTGAAGTTAGATACTTGGGAAAATTCTAACAAAAGATAAGAAAGCCAAAGCCTGGACGGAGCGGACACCACAGTCAAGGCCGGAAGGAAAGCAACCACAAGAATCCAAAAACACTTAGGAAATTTTTGAAAAAAATCCTAAGTATTATGACATTACATCAACACCGGACAGGCCGACAAAGCCACCGGGCTGAAGAGAAGGCACTTAAAAGGATCCAAAACACTTAGGAAATTTTGGAAAAAATTCCTAAGTGTTATGATAGTAGAGAAACGACGACTAGGCCGAGCAGGCCACTAGGCCGGAAAGACAGCAACTACGTGGAGCCAAAACACATAGGAATTTTTTGAAACAATTCCTAAGTGTTATGATAGTAAAGCAAAGATGAATAGGCCGACCAGGCCACCGGACAGGGAGGCCGACATCACGGACGTAGCGGACACTCGCGGGTGACCCAAGTTATGACCTTGACACTTAGACAAATTTTAGAGTTGAGATGACAAATGGCAAATAAGCATACAAGGAATTCAAAGCCGATCAGGACAACAAAAAATTTCATTTATATTCAATTCAGTACAAAGGTGGGCTCTTCGGCCGTTACATCATTTGGCAAAAATAAAAACTAACTACAAATGAGTAGCCGATCAGGCATCTGGGGCACCTCCATCTGCGGCTGGCTCTTCGGCCTCATCAGCTCCCTCATCGGCCTCAGTCTCCTGGCCGGCAGCGGCTGCAGCGCTGGTGGCATCGTCCAAGAAATCAAATTCAGTATAATCCGGCTCGCCAAGGCCGGAGCTTTCAATGGGGGACTCGCGCTCCGACAGCGGAAGCTTGGCCTGCTCTTCAGGATCCTTCATCAGCTTCGGAAGCTTCAGGTTCCGTCTAGCCCACCCAGACGTGTAGTTCATAGCCTTCAAAGCACGAGATAGCCGCCGACACAGGAGCCTTTGCATCCGCTCCTGGCCCATGTTATAATACACGACCATCTCTCTGCTGAAATACTCCTGGCCAGCGGGGGAGTTCATCCCCCAACTCTCAAGCCTGGCGGCCACCACCTCGTAGCACCAGGGGAGCCTCTCATCGGCCTTCCACCCCTCGGCCAGGAACTCCTCAACGGCCTCATCAGCAGCCCTCACAACGGCGGCCTCGGCCTCAGCCTTCGCCTTCACGGCCTCCTCGTTCTTGCGCCGCTCGGCCTCCAGCGCCCTTTGGGCCTCCTCGAGCTCCCTTTTGCTCTCCTCGAGCTTGGCCAGGGCATCGTCCCTGGCTGCAGCGGCTTCATCGGCCCTCGCCTGCAAAGCCCTGGCATCATCCCGGAGCCGATCCAGGCAAGCTACCGCCTCGTCGGCCGAGGCAGCCTTCTGCTCTAGCTCCTTCAAGCGAGCTATCTCCCGGTACTGCCTTTTATGGCTCTCCATGAGCATAAAGGCACTCTGCAGAACAAGGGAAACAAAAGTCAGGGAAATGAATCTACACGGACGACAAAAAAAAAACGACACATACGAAGGAAGGTAACTTACTTGGACGAGGAGGTCCATGCCGCCCTCGTAAATCTTTACGTCCCCGAGCTTCTTCAAGTAAGCCCGATCTTTGGCCGGCATGGCCTGGGCCAGGACGTCGTGGCCAAGGACGACATCATCAAACACACCCCCGCCGACGGGGTATTCTACCATCTTCTGGTAGGTGGCACCGGCAATCTCCTTGCCGGCCCTCTTCGTCCGTGGTTCCTGAACGAGAGGAAGCGATGGGGCAGCATCGGCAGCAGCAGTAAGGTCCACGACGGGACCACCATCGTCCACACTGGGGACAGCCAGAATACCGGCCTCAGTAGCCGGAGAAGGGGAAGGTGCCCTCTTCGTCTTCTTGGAGACGTTCAGGCCGGCTTCAGTTAATTTTTTCTGGCCGTCAGTGGCCGGCCTCTTCTTCTTCGATGGGGCAGGCTTTGGGGCCGCACCAGTAGTAGCCCCGCTCCCATCGGCCGCGGCACGTCTGGCCGCCTCGGCCGCCTTAGCAGCCAACTCCTCGGCAGCTTTGGCCTTGGCAATAGCCATTATGGAACGACGATCCATCGCAAAATCTACAAAGGAAAAACACAACAGATTAGTAAGGCAAAGGAACAAAACATAAAGACACGAAGCCGAAGAAATAATTATCATCGGCCTCAGCAGGAATGCCCAAGTCCGGGCCGTCGGCCTCTTCAAAGGTGGTGGTCATCCTCGGCCAGAGTTGGAGGTCATCCTCCTTATCACCATACACATGGTATCTAAAGAAGCCGAGGGCGGTCATCTTGTATTCAGTAATGTAGTCCTTTACGCTCCTCGGCCCCCCTTCCAGGAAAGCCTCCACCTGAGCGTCCAAGATAGAGCTCTTCGGCGGGTCATTGAGATTGAACCTCCCGGTATGGCCGAGGGAGGGAAACTCGGTGCCACTCTCACCCAGGGATACAAAAACGAACTTGCTCTTCCACCCATGAATGGACGAAGGCAAGTCCGTGAAGCTCCTCTTCTTCGGCAGTTGTTGAAGAGTAGCATAGGCCGCACAATTCTTGTGGCTTCCTCGGCCGATCTGGTACAAATTCATGAATAGGGCCGTTGTCGGCCTGTAGCCCAGCTCCTCACACCGGAGTAAAAAGCCCACCATCAAGGAATAACTGTTCGGCGTCAGCAAGGCCGGAGGAAGCCCTACCATGTCCAGGTACTCGGTGATGAAAGGGTGAAGGGGGAACCTCAACCCCTTAGCAAAACTCATCGGGTATACTCCAAAGTATCCCGGTGGTGGAAGAAGAACATGGTCCGTCGGCCTGGGTGCCCTAACCCGCCCAAACGGCCCCACATACATCTGGGCAACAAGATAGTCGGCCGCGCTGCTCTCCGGCTTAATCAAAAAGATGTTGGTGAGATCCAGGTAGGAGAGGCCCGGCCCACTCTTCGGCCTCCTCACCCTCTTCGGCTTATCTGCTCCCTTCACGGCAGACACCGGCCTCGGGCAGGGAATGACAGCGGAAGTGGACGCCCCGTCCACCACTCGGGACGCACCTGCGTCCTCACCCCTGGAAGAAGAGGCGGACTCCTCGTCCTCGACTTCATCGTCCAACAGCTCTTCGGATTTGTAAGGACTCAAATGTTCTATCTCCTCCTCGAACTCCTCGAGCACCTCATAGTCGAGTGACCTGGTGGAGGGTTGGTCGTCGTACGGGTAGTAGTCTTCGTTCAAGCTCTTCATCACAACAAACTACTACGAGCCTAAGGGAAGGAACTTAGGATCTAAGGGTGTTCAAACGCCTAACACTAGATCACTAGCCTAGGAAGCAAAGTATGCACAAAGTACAGAAAATGGCGATGAACACTAACCTTGAACAACGAAGAACACGAAGAACAGGCTTGGGAGTTTATCTCTCTAGAAAAATGGCCAGCACTTCGACAATTCAGAATGCAAATGTGGTTTCTCGTCGGAGGGGGAGGGGTATTTATAGAACCCCCCCCCCATCCAACGGTCACTACACGTGGCACCCTCCCAATGGCCACATCAGCGGTCACCAATGGGAGGCCACCACGTCACCAACGGGCCAAACTCAATAACAACAGCCCACTGGCAAGACGGACTCTACGGCCCATACACGTGCCGGCTTCACGAGTGCCAGCAAGCGCCCACATCGTCCTACTTGCCAGCAAGCGCCCACATCGTCCTACTTGCCGGCAAGCGCCCACATCGTCCTACTTGCCAGCAAGCGCCCACATCGTCCTACTTGCCGGCAAGCGCCCACAACGTCCCATCTTGTTTGCCAGGTTCACGAACGCCAACAATAAGGAGACGACAACGGCCTGGAACGTAACAAACGCCCATAGCGGCCACATAACAAAAGGAACAAAGAGCCCACAGGCATCGGCTCCTCGTAATGACCCTTGATGATAACTCTCTACAAGCGATCTGCGCACAAGGGTTCTCCCACAGGGTTACCTTGGCCAGAAAATCGCCATGAGGGTTGAATTCAGGGGGACTACGGAGAGACCGCTTCGGCCAGGGACTCAAGCAACTCCTTCACCCCTCACACTCTTCGGCCTGAAGCAGTGGGGGACTGGGGGACGATATCGGCCTCAACAAAACAAAGAGGAACAATGCAAAGAACATGAATGTAACCACAAAGCATGGCCACATCGTCCACGCATCACAATGGACACATCGGCCAGAGTCACATGACATCATCAACAACGGCCAAAAGGAGTGCGCGAGCACCCTCATCGGTCACCCAAAGGAAAGGACGCCATCGTCCTCAAAGCAAGGAACAACCTCAACGGCCTCATCTGCCCAAACATAAACTTCAACCACCAACGTCCAGGAAAGGGAAAGCGTGCCTTCAACGGCCGCCATTGAAACAAGACACTCATCATCCTCAAATGAACACATTAAGGAAACAACGGCCTCCCCGCCCACAGCGAGGGACAGGTAACGGCCAAAGCACAGAACAGGATCACCAAAGAGGAAACAACGCCAACGCCGCAACGGCTAACGGCCCGGGGATGCCCGCATCGGCCAAAAGTACTAAAGCACGGGAATCTACTCTCCTTCACTTCATCTACGTCTCAGCTTAGAGAGTGGGGGACTCCTGATGGAGTATATGGGTCTGAGCCCCCGGACCCACATACTCGGAGGAACGGAAAGCGCAAGACACAGAGTGGCACCCTCGTCGGCCAAGACGCCCCCGTCGGCCGAAAAGGGGCCAACTCAGATTATGGTCCTGAGCCCAAAGAACCCGGGTGCCCTCGTCGGCCACGCCCTCGTCGGCCACGAAGACCTCACAGAACCGGATTTTATACTTATTCATTTGTACAGCCCATTAGTGGCTTTGTATTCGGCCCAGTAGTGGTCCAGTTGTAAATGGGCCTCCCAAGCCCAAGACTTGAGAGCCCAGCCCTAATTTTCTCTATAAATACTCCCCTTGGGAGTAGTTATAGGGGTTACAAAATCATTCTATTGAAGCATATTATTGCACTTCTCTCTCTAGCTCTCACTTCTCTCTAGATATACTCTATCACTATGTAAACATATAAGCGGTCAAAGTTAGATGTCATTGACTTGAAAAGTCAAGTTTGGCTAACTAAAATGGGACGGAGAGAGTATTATATACCCGTCAAAAATATTTTTACAAAATATATCCAAATTAGCATATACAATTATTGTCTAAATAATCGTGTCGTTTTGCAGCAATAAGAACCTTTGAACGAGACGGACAGAGGTAGTACGCATTATAAAATCGAAGTAGAAACAATGTTCATTATTACTTGTTTGTATATTCCCTCTAATAATAAGGGGCATGGCACAATAACGATAACTACAGGTAACAGAAGCTTTGAAGGAATCGGGATTAGAATCTTCAAATCTGATAATTGGAATTGATTTCACCAAGAGTAACGAATGGACAGGCAAAAAGTCATTCAACAATAGGAGCCTTCATGCCATTCGTGATGATCACCATCACAACCCTAATCCTTATGAGAAAGCAATATCTATTATTGGGAAAACACTATCTCCATTTGATGAAGATAACATTATTCCGTGTTTTGGGTTTGGTGATGGTAATTAAGTTACATATATATTCCATCGTCTTTTATAACTTTGCTAACTTATCATTTTTATTGCGGATTAACTTTGTCACTTTCCCTTTTAAATAAAAAAATACTACGTATGATTTGTGATAATTGTCGCTCATCTCCACAAACATCAATCACATGATTTTTACTATATTATTTTACATGTCAGTCAATTGTAGCAAAGTTATAAGGAGCGCAGAAATAGTAATAATTTATCTATGTGTAGGCATGTATGTGTTTCTTCTCATATTAAAAGGAGCCTTGTTCATGCATGTAGTTAGTCCTTATTAAGGGTTTTTCATTTGGAATGTATGTACAATCTTTGATAAAGATTTAATAAAAAATTGCTAATGCTGGTGAGGACTTTTTACTGGAAATAGTCCATTCTGATAGAAATAAAATTATTACTTATACGAAAATGGTCTATATATAAGTGATAAATGGTCTATATATAAGTGATAAAGTTATAAAACTATTAATGTGTTATGTGTGCATGCATAAATTAAAGTTATGAGACTAACTTTACAAATTTTTATGAATAAATGGTAATTTGCCATCTACAGTGAACACACATGACAATAAAGTGTTTCGGTTTCACTCTGAGCCTTCCCAATATTGTCATGGCTTTGAAGAAGTCATAGCTTGCTATAGGAAGGTCCTCCAAAATGTGAAATTATCTGGTAGCTAGTTAATTTTAATAAATGTTACTCAATTCACCAGTGATATGAATTTATTATTAATCATTTTTTAATTCTAAAGCAATTACATATATTTAATTATTATTAAGGGCCAACATCTTATGGGCCGGTCATAGATGCAGCAATAGAGGTAGTGGAGAAAAGCGGGGGTCAATACCATGTTCTGGTTATTATAGCTGATGGTCAGGTTACAAGAAGTGTTGATACGGATGATACACAACTCAGCCCTCAAGAGCAAAGCACAATTTCTTCCATCGTCAATGCAAGGTGACACCCGCCCCTCAACACATACATGACTTGAAGTAATTAAGTAGGTGGCCTGGAAACAAATAATTTATTATGATTAAGTAGGTCCATGTTTATATAATGATGTTTTACTTCATCCTCGTACCAGACTAGAACATATCATATTAGACTTAAACAGATCATACCAGACCAGACTTCGTTCTACGGTTATAAGATACACAAAGACCAGACCATTTACCAAACCAGATTATCATCCCAAATCAGAGCAATTTAAAATAAATCACACCAGATCAAACCAATTCAGACACGACCAAACAAAACCGGAAAATTCAGTTCAATTAAATAACATCCTAAGTAGGTGGAAATTGAGCACTCTTTAATGTACTCCCCTCCTTGTTCCTGTTGTTGTGAATGTTAGCAAACTAAGCATCAAACATTTGTCCGACTTAAGCTACCTAATGCTTGTGTGCTACTTTGCTACTTTGTTGTATTGTACTACGTATTTATCTCCAACTCTCAACGATTCAAAGCAACCAATTCAGATGAGAAATGTTTCTAGTTAACAGAGAATTAGGGGGGAAAGTGTGTCGAGAGAATCCCGTAAATTGGAGAAGAATATATCACATTTTAATTCTCAAATAGGAGTGTCAATTGTTTTCTTACTAAAATATCCGTGAGACTAGTTCACTTTACTTCAAGTCTCATATTATATACGTAGTAGGTTTTAGTTATTTTGTTCAATTTTTTTTAATAGAACTAAACAACTTATACAATAGGAATAAAACACATTTAGTCCTTACAATAGGAATAAAACAAGTTTTACAATAGGAATAAAACACATTTAGCCATGTTCATTTACCCTAAATGAAAAGCGATAAAATATAAGGGAAATTTCCCAAGATATGACTAAAACATATTGAGATTCCCTAAGTATGACTAGTTATGTTTTTAGACATTTGTATGACTGAAAATCAAAAATAAAAAGAGAAATTCGTTCACATTAGAATGTATAATGACCAAAATATCCTTGCTTAAAAAATGTGCATTTTACACTATTTTCGTCCGATTAAAAATACTGCATTTTATACTGCAGTTACTGCACGACATTACTGCACATCCGATAACATATCATTGCACTTCCACCAACATTAGTTCTCTTCTCATCCTCTTTAGGAATTTATTGGCAGTTCTTTTAATTTTAAATTTTTTAGATTTACTAATTGTAGTATTTTTTACGTCTAATTAAATAGATAGTATATTGCATTTAATGTCGATGTTACTGTTCTACATTACGTCATGATCACTGCACTTTCTGTCAGGGTTATGATAAGATCTATTGTCTTCGATTCACTGCACAACATACTTCGTCAATGCATTCATTCAATACACATCTACAACATTATATATTGTCATATTCACTCCCCATATTCAACCATATTTATTGTCAGGTTCACTGAGCATGCTCATTGTCTATGTTCACTGTCCATGTTTAATGCCCATAAACTCTAATTTTAAAAATAGAGAAAGAAGAATTAGAAGGGAGTGGCAGCGACTTGGATAAGTCTGCGAATATGAATTGCTGTCAACCTTGTGCCATAATCAAATAAAAATTATTGCAATAAATAAAAATTGTTCAACAGAATTTTTGATGCCTACGTTTTGGAGAATCGCCCATTTAGCCATAACTCCAAGTTGCGTCCTCCGCTCAAAGACAGTCAAAATTGAAAAATTGAAATAAGGTTGTTCTTCCTGCTTGGTATCTGTTTGAGAAAGGCAATTACAGGGGAGGTGTGCGATGAGAATCCTCCATGGTGACGGCAGTGCCGTCTCGATTCTTCCATAGCACTCTTGCAATGGGGATCCACGAATAGTTAGTCTCTCACTGCGACTCAACTGCCGACCTCCGTTGGCCTGTGGCCTGCGGCCTGCCGGATCCTCGCATAGCCATCTTCGTCCATCCCTGCAGATTGAAGCCCTCAGTCAATTGTTGTTGATGAATCTAGTTGCGCCCTCTCGCCATCGTTTGCTTTTCTCTCATTAGGGTTTTATAATAATAATAGGCTAAGGGTATATTAGTCCATATTAATTATTAATTAATATATTAATTTATTAACTAATTAATTATTACGAATTTACATATTATAATGGGAGAAAAAACTAACTAGATCATAGATTGGAAAAGTCGATGAGTTTTACTCATACCTAGGGTAATTATCTCTAAAATATAAACGTCACATGTTTATTAAATACCTTCATTTATGTCATACAATCATCAGTATTTATTTATTTGGGGTTGCACACTTGCGCATATATAGCATAACTAAGAACTACATGATATTACAAGCATTGAATAAACATGGTTGTTGATGCTTTTGTTGCTAGCATGTATCCTCTCTCCATTGTTTTGGTTGGTGTTGGCGACGGACCTTGGGATGACATGAAAAATTTTGATGATAAAATTCCTCACCGTGAGTTTGATAATTTTCAGGTAATAGTAGTTTAATAGATCTTGGTTTTACGATTGTATGGACATCCTAAATTGACTAATCCAGATTTAAAGATATGAAAAGTATTAGGTGTACACGTTTTTTGTACACTAATGTATACACCCTCTAGTTTGGTTGTCTACACATGCATCTCATCTTAAAAAAATCATTTTTTTGTATACATGGACAAGTATATAAAAAGTGTATAGAAAGATGTAGATCAAGAATTACTCATATCAAATTAATTAGGTTCTACCAGACGAGTGAAATAGTTTATGAGGCCGTTTGGTAATCTTGTTTTTCGGCTTATCATGCTTATCAGTTAACTTTTTCACCAAACACGTAACTTTTGATTTTTCACGCTGAATTGTGTAATAAATAAGAAAAAGTAAGGTTGGAGTTACTTTTCTGACTACATTGGCCGAAGTTCGTGTAGAGGACTATTTTAGCTAATTTTTCATGTAATTTTTTCTTTATTTTATTGATAAAATATATTTTAAATATTTTTCATAAATAAGCAGAATCGTTCCATCCACCCACTTCAGACAGAACTTCATAAATTTCAACAATTAGTATAATATTACACTCATACATTACTTTTTACTATCTTTCAGGTACTTCATATTTGAAAAACCATTTCAGTTTTTTTGAATAATAAAATGTGTCTAAGCTTGAACTTCATTGTGCATTAAAGTTTCTGAATATGTTCTATCCAGAAGTGAAACTATTTATTCTATAACATTTCTCTTCATCCATGTATAAGAACTATGAATACAAAGATAGATATAATTTAAGTATGCACGGTGGAGTTAAAAATAATGTACATAAGTGGGTTATGTAATATTTTTACTATTCAAAATATTGTAAGTGGGTTATGTAATATTTTTACTATTAAAAATATTGTTAATAGTTGCACTATCAAAATTATGTACAAAAATGTCATAATAAAATAGATACTCCAACTTCAAATATCTTCATTTTACTGTACTTTCAAGAGGCTATACCTTGTCTAGATGGGTCAATTAGAAGTGGTAAACAATAGACGATTTGGACATGGTACTCTCACTTATGAGTGGTATATGGTAGAAAATTCACCTTTTTTATAATTTTTAAAAAGGTATTGTTATAAATATTATTGTTTATTGTTGTACAATTAATGGCTGTTTCAATTAAGTTCAATTTTATGTAAAAAAAATTCAGTACAATCATATGTTCATTTATGTGTATCTATAACAATTGAATTCTTTTAAAAATATACTTATTTACCAATAGATAGATATAGTAGAATTAAATGAATGAATTTTTATTTTATTTTGCAGCTGATTATCAATAACAGCTACTCTCTTATTTTGCAAAAAAAAATCTAACTTTATTTATGCAACTATCCCAAAAGATTATATTTTCCTTTTAAAGTAATAAATGTGTGGTTAAATTAGTTTTTCTCCCGATCTTCACAAATCTCAACCACATAATTTTTACTTTATTACTCCACATGCAAGTCAATTTTGGTCACATTTTATAAGGAAATATTAATTATTATCATTAATCTTTATATAATATTTGTAGCCGAATTTATCATGCTTGAATATAATGTAATACTATATTTTGTATTCTAAAATTAGAACATTTCTCTTTTTAATTTTATTATATGATGTCTCTTAATTAATTGTGTATGTTCTAATGTTTTTCTAATAATTTTTAATATATTAATGTCTATATGCTCACTTACTAATGCTTTATTTATAACTTTCAACCATTAATTAGATTTATCGTTAACCATTGATTGTTATTGATTATAATTAAGTTGTTTAATAATGCTTCATTAATAATGACAATAAATTTTCACTTCTTTTTGCTCCAAATGAATTTCTATTTGGATCTCCAACATATTCTCTTGATATATATAAAGACTTGCACTCATTTTCGGATTAATTAATGTATAGATCATACGTATCAGTTCAAAAATTGTGAACGAATGAGAGTGCAAAGTCAAACAAATTTATGTTAAACGGACGCACATTAATGATTCTGAAAATTGAGTGGAAAGACCAATTTTATCCAAAATGGGATGCAAGGATGTTTTTAGTTAGACTTATTTCAGTTCCAAACCAGACTTAAACGGATAATATCAGAGCACACTTTAACAGAGCATATCAGAGCAGATCTAATCAGAAAATTTCAGTGTCATAAAAAATCAATAAAGATATGTGATGTTTTAACTCTAAAACCAGATTAAATAAAAGCATAACATACTAAATTCAAACTAAATCGGACCGAATTAAATGTAGAGATTAGATCAAACTAAATATGAATAAGAGTAAACTACACATAATAGAGGAAACGGTCTAGCTTAGTGGGTCACCGACTCACTCTCCTTTATTGGAGGTCCCGGGTTCAATACTCAATGGAGTGAGTTTGATTCAGTTTACCCCAGACCCCGACCCCTCCTAGGGTAAACAAAATAGGTAAAAATACAACTAATATCAAACATTTACCACATAAGACTAATTCATATCAGACAAGATTAATTAAGCCACATTTAAAAAACTAAAGCAAAAACCAACATAAATTATCCTAAATAGGAGTAAAAAAATGTTTATTCCTAAAGAGCAATGTCATGCTTTTATTCTCTAAATAGAAGTAGTTATTACCATATTTCGGCAGTACTAGACATTAACATTACAGTATTTTTAAAACTTCATAGTAATTACTCCTATTTGAGGAATAAAAATATGACATCTCTATTTCGGGTTTCTAAAGCATTTTTATTCCTCTTTCGATAGAAAATCAATAAAACAATAGAAAATCTTGGAATAAACCATAAAACCAGCCGTGTTTAACTTTTAAACTAGCTCGTAGTTATTTATTTATATACCCTCTTTATCAATTTGGTTTGCAGTTCGTTAATTTTACAGAGATTATGTCAACGAGTATACCAGAATCACAAAAGGAAAGCAGGTTTGGCCTTGCTGCCCTTATGGAAATCCCTATCCAATATCGTGCTATCAAAGAACTGAATCTACTAGGGTACGTACGCCCGCATATACACAATAACTGTTTCATTTCAGCCAATCCATCTCCAATTTTGGTGTCATAATTTTGGTATATTCTACCTCTGTCCCGCTATGATTGTTCCATTTTACTTATCGATCCGTCCCACTAAGATTGTATCATACCGAATTTGATAAAGTTTGTGTGACTCTAAATCATTCTTACTATATTTTTACTTTATCAATTCAATATCAACCACATAAACCATTTTTTATTAATTTGCGTGTCACTCCCTCTTATCTCATCGTTAGCGGGACGGAGGGAGTACCTGTTATTAGTTGTCTTGTAATTAGTAAGTTTGTGGAATTTAAAAACATTTCTATTACAAAATATACAGGACAACAACTAGTAAACTAATAAAGTTACGACCATACGCATACATAAACTATAATCTCCAATTGATTTATTCGTTCCCAAATTGTCATGCAATGTGTTTCTTTTATTTGCATGATCGATCAAAAGGAAAGTGACCGGAAATACAAAGAAGGTAGATCAACTCCCTCCACCGCTTCCATATACTCCCCGTCCACCGCAAAATCCTTCCATACCTAATGAAGATAGTGAAGAAAGCGGGAGTCAGGTATAGTAGCAACTTTTAGTCATAATAAGTTATGTTTGATTTTTACAGTTAAGTGGCAATAACATAATATTATACGAAGTAGTACCTTTTAGTCATATTTTCTAAATTAGTAAATCTTATCTAAATAATGTTTTTAAAAAGATACTTAATTGAATATGAGAATTCAGTTTCAATTCGAAAAACTTCATACTATGAGTACGTTCCTTCTTCTTTAATTTATTTTTCTAGAAATATATAATCATGTAAAATGTTTCATGAAGCTTTTTAAAAGATGACCGCCAGGTGAAAGAACAAGGAATTAATTAAATAGGATTAAAATATAGATAAATTGCGCAAATATGATTTTTTTCCTGAAAGCACAAATAGGAATGCTTATGTTTAATAAAAGTATAAATCTTCCCCAATTAGGAGTGATGATCAAGTCGCCATGTTTAGGATGACCATATTTGTATACTTTGTCTATATTTTAGTCATATATTATAATTAAGCATTAATATAATCAATAACAATCAATGGTTAACGATAAATCTAATTAATGGTTGAAAGTTATAAATAGATTATCATTGAAGATTTCCATTATATTATATATTTCAAGGTTCAACTATAAATTAAATTAGATATTAATATGTAATATTTAACCTAGAATGAAGAAGAAGAACATTGAAGATTTCCATTATATTGAACAATTTGATGATATTCATTTTTATATTTTCACATTAACTTAGTAAATTAAAGATGATATTTATCTCGTGCGTCCTCGTTTTGCTATATTTTTTCTTAGTTGTGTTGCACTAGTTGTGTATTTGTGAATATTAATACTACATATGCAATTTCTTGTATTTATATCAATATTTCATGTGAGTTGGTTGATGTGAAGATATCTACCAATTGCAAGATTTGTTCGAATTTTTTAGCATGTGTTTGACATTGTACCGTACCGTTTTGTACCGTTCTGAAACGGTCTGGTACCAAACGGTTCTATCCTTGAAACCGGACCGTACCGGACCATTAAAAACCTAGCGGATACATTACGGGTTTTACTAGTTTACCGGACCGTTCCGGACCGCGCCCACCCCTATTTTATATGTAATAACATATATCATATAGTACTTCACAATTTATATAAGTTATCTTTTCAATTTCTTGCAAGCATTTTTAGTGGGTGGAAAGCCCACTAATATGACCGAATATGGTAACTTCTAATTTTATTGCAAAAAAATTAAACTATCTATAAACAAAGCTAAATGAGTGTGTGTATCAATCATACATGCAGGTCTGCATGGAATGTTCTCCAAGACTGTCCAATTGTCCAATTTGTCGCGAGCTTATTACTAGGCGTGTTAGATTATATGTGTGACTGCGAATAAGGGATAGTGTGAATGTGTGTGTATACTATATGTTCCACTTTATATATTGATCACATTTCTTATTTGATGATGATTATGATGATTATGATGATGATATATATATGTGTAATGAAGTTAGATAAGTGTATATGGAATGATAAAATTATTTCAAGTTTATCATTAGTAAACAAATGAATAAAAAATAGTTCCTCAATGATAAATTTTAATCATTGTGCTCTCTTTAGCCCAAAATGTATGTATCATTATATTGTCCATAATTTTTTATAACTAACGCGGAAGTAGTGTAATTATATATAACATCATAGCTAGAGATCCTATAAATAGAGAATAATTACAAAAGATGTGATGCAATTACAATATTTTTTTATATAGTATGATCCTATTACAGATTCTATCAAATAGATTGGAAGAGGGAGGAATATATGATGGTTCAATCGTCAAGATATATTAGCACAACACATAAGGCCTACGAAAAATATTAAAGATTTATCGATACATGGGAAATAAGTCGATAGACATAAAGTAAGCATCCTTAGTAACGCGAAATAAAATTAAAGTTTTGAAAAAATTAGATATGTAAATGAAACTATTGGGTGTAACAATGAAGGAACATCTATTTTGTAAAGAAGGAAAAAAAATTATTCAAAAGTGCAGATGTTTATAAACAAAAAAAAAATAATGCAAAAATGAAATGAAAAAAACAAAATCACTTTATGAAATAAGAAACTAGAAAGATCGGAGAAAAAATACATCATATGTAGGCAATTTAGTTATATGCAAGATAAAGTTGTTACTGAAATACATCAAGAAGAAGGTAGCTCTACGAAATTTCATGATAATAAAATAGTAATGAAGGTGCAGTGTATGATTTACAAGTTAATAGTCACTAGAAATTAAATAAATAAATGGAAATTGTTTGAGGAAACCTTTAAGAAGAAGATAAACTTTGTTAGTCCAAGTTTCAGAGATAATGATCTAACAGCAATAATATAATAAACACAGTAATACAAACAAGGGATCAGATAATGATATGAAGAAGATGATCGGTGAAACCCTCTTTGATATACCGTGAACTATTACAAAATGATGAGCTCTAAGGCTGATAGTTCGAATGCAAAAGTTAACGCAAATCTAAGCCTTAAGCGCCTATTTATATGTGAAGGCAGGTTTGCATAAAGGCTTCCAGCCAGGTATATGGGTCTGACATTTTGGCCTCATTTCCTTTATACTCTAATAAATACAAAGTATAAATGCACAAGGTATGATAAAGGCTAAGCTATTACAAGACGTATGACAAACTTGATACAAAACAAAATATTCTCCAACAATCTCCCCCTTTGTGATCAAGTGTCGTCTTGTTTTATCTTTGAGATTTGAAGTAGTTTTTCCTGATGTTCAGTGCGTGCTCATATTGCCTGAGGATGTTTCTCTTTTCTAAGCGTTCATCAATAGCTTTCAAAATCAAAGTCAGCACTTCATGCTCCTTTAGAGTATACGTAGATGCATCCAAAAGTCTTCTGTCAAGCTCTTCCTTTATTTTCCGTAGCTTCTCTTGAATGATTTTCAAAGTGCCATCACAGTATTCGTGGATCTCTTCAACCACCATCAGGCATTTTTCATCCTTGTGGTTCAGATAGACTACTGCAGGTGGAGTGAAGAAGATGTGATAAGCAGGAAAGTCCTCAAGCTCCGGACCATGCAGTCTTGGCTGAGATAGATTCGCTTTTGGGATATTATTCTCGAGAGCCATTTGGAAGTCATGGGAAGCATTGACTCGGACTTGTCTCAGCATGAAACGCTTGATTGCTTCAAAGCCTTCTTTGTAAGTTCGATTGTTTCTGACTGGTAGGAATCTGTACGCCATAAACATCCCATAGATGTCATCCATTTTGAGCATTATGAAGTCATTTTCTTGGCATAAAAATTCGCTACCGTCAGTGCGTTGGACTTTGTAGGAGTTGAATCTGATTGTATGATGATCTTCGGCCTTGACTTGTAATATTGCATGAACAAGATGTGTACTAGACTTTAGATCTTTTTCCAAAAGTTGTCGTTGAGGCCCTGAAGATCTATGAAGTAGCATGTGTAGGTGACCTCCTGCTTCTTTTCCTTTCAAATGTGTAAGTCTGTGCATCCTTAGTTCCCTTAAAGGTCTGACCTTCTCCGGTTTACGCCAGATACGCTTTCTGAGTTCTTCTTGGAAGGGGGCTTTGATTCTAACATTCTCCCAAGGTTTATCATTCTTGGGAAGTCGTCCCGCCGTTTGTCTGATTATTGATTCCAATTCCTTGGGAGTTTCTTTATAATTTTCCCCTTCCTTGAGTTCCTCTTCATCAAGCCAAATGATGTCTGTTGCACATTTGGCGATCAGTTCTCGCAAGTACCAACTCTTCTGCATGTCTTCAATTTCTTCGTCACTACGAATTTGATCCCACTCCATCCATTTCCTAGGCCACTTGTCATGTATAATGATGTTTTCAAGTTCATCGTGCATTGCCTCTGATGAAGGAGTGGTAGGAGCTGGTTGACTTGGTGGTGTCGGGGACCTGTAATCTGGAACACTAGGATCACAAGGATTTCCCGTTGTCATCAGTTCTGAACTATGTTCTGTTTGATGGCCTGATTGTGAGGATGTACCTGAGGTAACATCAACAAGACTTCCATCCCCTCCTCAAACAATATCTCTCGGAGATACACCTCGGGATGTTTCATCTAGCTCGACCAGGCTAGATAGGTTGGCTAGGTTTCAGTTTTGGCTGGAAGCGGGTGGTTGTTGGATAGTTGAGGATTCGGGTTGATCGGGCTGTGGAAGTTGGCTGGTGGAAGCAGCTTGCTCAAGTGTTCGTGGCCGCTTATTCTCCCCCTCATGAGGCTCCGAATTGTCGGGACCCTCATGTGAACGTTTGCGACCATGAGGACTGTCACGGCAAGTGCTTTTGGTGTCAGAAGTACCCAAAAGAGCACGAAGGATGGTTTTCTGGTAAGGGGTAAGGTCTTTGACAACAATGGCAAGAAGTTTAGTGAGCATAGCAGATGCCAGGTCATTGAAGGATAGGGTGAGGAGGTCAAGGCGAGAAGTGATCGGGATTGGGCATGATACTAGTTCGGTATCATGGGTTCCCCGAGAGGGTTGAAGGCTGGTTGGTTTTGTGGTAGAGGTGTCAGAAATGATTTGGGTAGTTTGAGGTTGAGAGTGAGAGAATTATGGCTCAAGTGAGGGTTTAGGTGCGGGTTGCTCAGTGATAAGTCCGTATTTAGACACGCATTTGATGCATGTTCGGGTTGGATTTTGATGGTTTTCCTAGCTTTAAGGTGTTGCAAGTCTCAATTTTAGCTCAAGTTGTGATTATCAAGCGTTGGGTCGAGTTTCTTTGCATTTGGAGTTGAATTGAAGAAGTTAGAGTCTGGCAATCAGCGCTTGAGAGGCATTTAGGAAGGATTTGAAGGCATCGGGAGATTCACGACGAAATTCTGATGCAGAACGAGTATTTGGATTGACCTCGTACATCCGGAAGCGTTTGGAACAAGAAAACGAAGAAAAAGTGAAGAATAAGGTCACGCACGGTCGTGCCCGGCGTTAGGCACACCGTGCATGCCTAGGAATGAAGCGGATAAGCTACTGGAACCCAGGCACGGTCGTGCCTGGCAGGTAGGCACGACGTGCCTGAAAAGAAACGAGGAACAAGGTACTGGAGGCCAGGCACGGTCGTGCCTGGCAGTTAGGCACGCCGTGCCTGGACGCGTTTAAACGGGATGCTTCCGCAGGCACGGTCGCAGGCACGGTCGTGCCTGGCGCCGTGCCTGACCCCGTTTTGTCCTAATTCAGCCCAAATTGCCTTGTTTCCTATAAATAACACCCCCATAACCCTAATGAGAGGGGATGGACTTTAGAGAGCTGATTAAGGACGAAAATTAGAGAGCTTTTTAGCCAGGTTTTTCAATTCCTTAACATTCTTGGTAAGTTCCTACTTTTTGATTAATGACAATTAATTCTATTCTTTCCAATTCCGTTGATTCTTCAATTATGAATTGCGAGTAGTTTTAATTAGGGATTTGGGGTTGATGAAGGGGTTTATCATGATGTATGGCTAGTTTCTTGATGGTTTGATTACATGAATGCCGTTTAATTTGTGTTTGAATAGTTTAACTGTTATCTTTTGTAATCTGGAACCGCGGCTAGAATTACAATTGTTTGCAGAATAAATTAAGAGAGTTCTAGTTTATTCTAGGACACATTCACACACACTTAATCGTTCACTAAGAGATTAGTAGCGATTAAGGGGCCGTAAGCTCGCTCGTCATGGCAATAATTTAGGATCCTGTCGCATGAGAGATCAGTCTGGTCCCCTAAATTACTGTACTCTACGCTGCGAGAGCGGTAAGAACCTAGTGGTGATTAGCTAGGCTCAATTAAATTAAATTAATGTAATTAGGCCTGTTGTGCTTCCTGGGCCTGTTGGGCCTTTATTGGAGTAGTAGGAGTCTGTGGGCCGGGGGTTCCCGGGCCATATACTCCATCAACATATATACCCAACATTTGTCCTGAGTTCACTTATATGAAACAGTAGTTACTCTTATATGCCTTTAACTACTCACTTACCTGAGAGATGTCGAGCGGTGCGTGGCAATGGATGGAGTTACGGAAGGACCTGGGCTCTGATACCAAACTGTAATTATCGTCCCCAAACGGCCATTACCATACTCAACATAAAAAGAGACTCGATAAATCAAGCGGAAACAAAGATACAAAGCCTCGATATGAGACTTTATTTCTTTTAGAACAAATCAAAACTTACAAACATAACGAAACACATCCAAAATAAAACAATTGTAAAACCATTACACCTGATCAGGATTTTAAAAACGTTTAACAACCCTTTGAAGTACCAACGTACTAAAACCACAACATAACTGATAGCCCGATCTTCTTCGTTAACCCATCCAAAACCTTGTCACCGGCTCCATACATTCTCTCAGACTTGTGTACCTCGTTCATTACCTAGACATGAGAATACGGGAAAATAGAAGTCTCGTAAGCAATAATGCTTAGTAAGTCACCATTTTATCCACTAAAAACGTTTAGAGAATCTTAGCTAGCCATGATTAGATACATGAGCTTGAATACTCCATACACATAGCATATTCACACACATATTCATATCATGTAAAAC